TTGAAATAAACCACTAAAAAGATTAGTCCGCATTTCTTAGAAGCATCAAGTGGAATCGAGGTCAGAGTAGCACCATTCCTTTACAAAATAACACACACATTCACACACACATACATACATATATTAAATGTTCAAATAATGCACACACACTTTTGTTACAACAAATGCAACGATTCCAAGAGTAAATTAAGAAACACCATAAAATTTAATCACATCACATAGAAAGAACATAAAAAGATTTATTCGGTAAAGTCTACACCCACAATGGAGATTTGACAAAAATTTTCACTATACAAAAAATACGAGATTATAACCTTCAGTCCCTCATACCCTTTCTCTGCAATTATTAGTCTCTCTCTCTCTCTCTCTCACTCCAAACCCTAAACACTTTTATATATTAGATTACAAAAAAGTACTAATTAGGATCCATAACCCTCAAGCATGGACCTGTGATGGACTTATGGGGGAAATTGCCCCCACTTAAATTTTTTCCTTTTGCAATTTTACCCACTAATTTTGCTATTTTGAATTATATATTTGAAAATTTTGACTTTGCCCCCCACTGAAATTAGAAAAAAACTACACTATTGCTCAACAATTTTTTTTTTACTAAAGGTCACCCCTTCTCACATACTTTTCTGGGTCCGTCCCTGATGACCCTCAAGCAAAAAATGGGTTAAAAAAATTTCTGCTATGGGTCGTAATCCCGGCATTAAATTCGAGCCACACCACCACACTTAAAACATTGTTCTTAATAGGACTAAGACCGTCAGCCTCCATTATAGTAAAATAAATTTCATATCATCCAAATTAATGTCTACTTGTGCACAAATTAATATTTAATTTTAGTGTTACAAGGGAAGTCCTGTTTTACATCGGATCCGATAGAAAATGAAATGAGTATATATAAGTTGGGTGTTAACACCACAAGCTTTTAAGTCGGATCACGAAACACCTAACCCGTGATAGTTAGTATCAGAAACAGACACAGTTATTGATCCGGTATCACGCCAAACACCCGACCTGATTGTGCCACCCGAATAAATAAGGTAACGAAAGTATTGTGAGTTCAGATAAGAGATACTGTTACAAAGGACGAATATATAAGTCGAATCGCAAAACATCGTACCCATTACAATTAACTTGTATTGAAATCAGTCCATTTCTGCATACCCCAATGACCAAGATTATATGGGTAAATGACTTTAGATTTTAATTATATTTTATTTTTTTGTGACCAAGTTGTAACAAATTTTAGAAATCAAAGCGCCAAATTTCCACTAATAACACAAGATGTTGAATGTTGCTTTTGTGTTTCCCAACAGCTTTAACATGCGTGAGAGAGTTCCATAGAAAAGCTGACACGTTTTTGTATGGATGTGAGAAATGTCTTTTGCTGAAAAATCCATGTATATCTGAAAACACCAACTGGTGGCTGAGAATTTGTGATTGTATGGTGAGATGTCTCACATTGACGCAAGACTCGAGTTGTGACTATTATTTCAAGCAAAAGACTTGCATTTGTCAATCTAAAATGGAAGGTAATATAAGTCAACTCATTTATCAAATTAGTTCCTACAAGAGAAATCTCAGTTAGGGCCAAGAATAAGAACAAGCGTCCAGGGCATTGACATTTGCATGCATATGTATGCTTGCTTAGCAAAAAAATAACATTATTTAAAGTCCTCGGATTAATTTGACTGATTTTATATAAATAAAAATTGATATTATCACAATATTAGAGGTACTAATTATATAACGATAATGTCAACATTCACTCAGATAATTTTTTTATCAATATTCATTCACATAAATCTTTATTATTATATTAGTTATATAGAATTTACATGTGGATGGTTCTTAATTTATTCCTTTAAAATGAACAAGAGTCAATTGAGTCTCAACATTTTGTAAAAATCAGTACGGAAGTTCTAACAGGAAAAAAACGCATTCTCATTTTCACACGCAGTACTCAAAAGCAAAAGTTCAAATTTTCTTCTGCTAGCCGGCAATAGATATTGATTGTGGCATTATAGGAAAAAATTAAAAAATAATGATTTCTCCTCTGAAATAGAGGGCCAAAATAGATTTCTATACGAAATAGAGGACCTAACATTATTGAAATTAGAAGATGATATATATATAAATATAAAATTAATCCTTTTCTATGGAGAATTGATCCATTAACCCTTTATTTGAGAAGTATCATACGTATTAGAATTCATATATGATAAGTAACTCTACTGCATAGCTCTGTATCTATATCAATAATATATATTTTTTTATTAGTAAGAAATTCACCCACCCATTTGTCTTTGCACTGTACATATTCGGATCCTTATCATTTTTTTTGAAAGATAGAGGAGATACAACTAGACTATCGTTGGTATATATATATATACATATAGAAGGGTGTTTGAGTCATTTTCTTTTATTCTCAATGCTTGAATAATGACATAACTTAATCTATAGAATGGTACTACATACCCACCCATATATACTAAATTTCTTCTCCATACGAATTTGATATGCGACAACAGGGCGGAACTAAGGTGGGGCTGGGGGTGGCCATGGCCCCTCCTAATTTTTTGGATTTTTTTTTTTTTTTTTTTTTTTTTAGTATAGGTAAAAATAAAAGTAATATAGTATGTATGGTATAAAATCTATACTTGGCCCCTTAAATGAAAAAAAAAAAAAAAAAAAAAAAAAAAAAAAAAAATTTCTTTTTTTAATTAGCATTTAACAAAAAAATAATTTATATATAATCTAAAGCAAAGTGATTTAAACTATAGAATCCCCATAAAAACTTACTCATATAAAAATTTAATATGATTATCTTAAAATTTCAACTCAAACACAATTGTTTCCATAATGTAACTATCTTAAAATCCTTCCAACTTAATCACGATTATTTCCATAAACTTATCATCATAAAATTCTATCTCATACACGATTCTTTCTAATCACTTTTTTTTTTTTCTTTTTTTTTTTTATTTTTATCGGAATACTTTGATACGAATTCTATAAAAAATTAATTTTTACAAAATTTAGAACAAAATTTTCATTTGAAATTTTGAATATCAACAAAAATCGATGATTGAAGAATCTAAATTCTTAAGTTATTAATTTGTTTGTGTTTTTGTATCATAGTTATAATTTTTATTGATATATTGTGTAATAATTATTAAATTGTGTAAGTATTACATGAATTTCTTATTTTTTTTATAAATTAAAATCTAATTATTTAATTAATTTTTTTTAGAATATTGGCATAAATCTTATTTAAATAACTAATTTTTTACCTATTTAAATAAATTGGCAAAAGTTTAGATAGATATATTTTTGTATGAATATAATAAATAGTAAAATATTTTTGCCTATTTAATATATTCCCCCCCCCCCCCCCCCCCCCCCAAGTTCTAATGTGGCTTATAATTTTGATCCCCCCAACCTCAAGATCCTGGCTATGTCCCTGTGCGACAAGACCCTTCTTACACTCTTTCACACCCAGACTTGCAACATCTTAGTTGCGGTCGAACCTAGCTAGCATGACACTGGATCAAAGATTGAGTCTGATTATAATATCAATTGTAATAAGATCGGTAATTGATACTTGATCTTCAAACTTAAGTTATTAGATAATGCTATATACTTCCACGGTTCCACCCATATCTATTGAAATCTCTTGTTCATCTGGATTTGATCCAAGACAAGACCCCCTTTAACACTTAATTTGTATAATCCCTCATTCCTCAAAAGAGGAGTGAGGGATTTAAACATCAAAATGGATATTTGCCTTGTGTGAATATATATATATATATATGTGGGTTAAGTGCAAAAAATTCCCCTCTATTATCGATAGAATGCAAAACAGTCCGTGATAAAAAAAAAAAAAAAAAAAAAAAAAAAAAAAAAAAAAAAAAAAAAACAACAACGCCCTATACTATTGATTGTGACATTCTAGGAAAAAAATTAAAGAATAATGATTTCTCCCTTGAAATAGAGGGCCAAAATAAATTTCTATACATTGAATTTAGTTTTCATTTCAATCCTACGAAAATAGAGAACCTGGCATTATTGAAATTAGAAGATGATATAAAAAAAATAAAAAAATATAAAAAAATTAATCTTTTTTTTCTTTTTTTTTTTTTATTTATGGAGAATTGATCCATTAACCAACCTAGTGCATAGCTTTGTATATGTATCAATAATATATATTTTTTTATTAGCAAGAAATTTACCCACCCATTTGTCCTTACAATGTACATATTCGAATCTTCGTCATTTCCTTTGGAAGGTAAAATGGATATAACTAGACTATCATTAATATATATCAATAATATGATGAGTGAAATACCCTAAAGTATTAATATATATATATATATATATATATATTGAAAGAAAGGCATATAAAGGGTGTTTGAGTCATTTTCTTTTATTCTTAATTCCAAAAAAACAACGATATAACTTAACCTATAGGATAGTACTATATACCTACCCATATATATTAATTTTTTTTTCCATTCAAATCTTCTTACATATGTATGTGACAAGACTCTTCTTACACTCTCTCACACCGCAACATCTTAGTTGTCGTTGAGCTTTAACTAGCATAACACCAGGTCAAAGATTTAATCGAAATATAATACCAACTCTAATAAAATAAATAATAATCATATGATTCTTAATACAGTATACTTTCGCGATGGCCCATATCTACTCAATCTATTGTTCATCTGGATGCGATCCAAGACAAGATCCTCCTTTTAACACTTAATTTGTATCTCATTCCTCAAAAGAGAGGTGAGGGATTTAAACATCAAAATGGAAATTTGCCTTGTATTTATATATATATATATACAAAATTATTGACATGGTGCAAGGGTGAAGGGGCATCTGAGTAAATGTAACATTTGGATAGTGAGAGTGACGAACACATATATGTCAGCACGAGTCCCCACGGAGGTTTTGTCGTCTTATAACTAGGAAGGAGCCAGACTGCTTCTCCTCTGCGTCCTCTGGCTCTGTTCAATTCCTTCCCTTTTTTTAAGCCTTTTTACATTCTCTTTTCTTTCTCTTCTCAAAAAGCCCTTTTCATACATACTCTATACTTATTATTGTATTGTTTTCTTCTTCTCTCTCTTTTTGGTTAAGGTCTCAAACCAAACCAAACTCCAATTTTGTTTTAGAAAAAGAAAAGTAATATACTAGCTATAGCTAGCTCATTTTTGGTAACGCTCTTCATCGATCTTCTCTCTCTCTCCTCATCTCTCTCTCTCTCTCTCTCCTCATCTTTGGAGTTTGGAGCATCCAATGGGGAACTGCTTAGATTCTTCTGCCAGAGTTGATACCACTCAGCCCTACCACAACACTTCTGGTAATACATATACTTGCTTTGTTTGGAGTTCATGCAATCTCACAACTCTGTTTTTATACCTCTCTCTATAAGCATGTATTGTTCAATTTTATTTTATTTATTTGTTCATTTTTTTTTTTTTTTTTTTTTTTTTTTTTTTTTTTTTTTTTTGTAAATTGAATTGCTGTCTTTCTGAGGGTTTAGTTGGCTTTAAAAGTACCAACTCTGATGGGTACAAATTAAATGTTCTATCTTTGGTTGGTAAATCAAATTCTTATGGGTATTATTATCAATACCATTATTTACTTATTTATTTATTTGGTTTTTGGATTTTGTATATAGTTTAATTTTACGGGTTTCTGTGTTATGGAGTGATGACAATTTAATTAATTTTTTTGGTTTTATTTTTCTTGTGCTTGATTATAGTCTTAATTTTGGAGAAAATTTTGTTTTGTGGGCAAGTCTTTGTTCTTGAGGCCACCAATCGGGCCTCATTTGTTGGATGTTTGGACATCTATGTTCTTGTTTAGGGTCTAGGGTTTTAATTAGTTTTTTTGGCTAAGTAGGGTTTTAATTAGTTGCTTAAACCTATTGTCTGATTCTTTGTTCCACAGTTTGAAACTAGGTTACTGACAGAGTTACTTGGACTAATTCGCGATTTATTTTGATTAATTGACTTGGTGAGTGAGCCTTTCGAAGATCGGTTCTAGAGTGGGATAGTTTTTCCCAAAATAATGTAACTAACTGAGATGCTTCAATATTCTGATTTTTGTCATGGATTTTACTGTGTTTCTCTCATTTGTAATGTGCAAGTGTGAGAAATGTGTCAAGGTTGCTTGGATGACAGGGTCCTAGTTTACTTTACGGGCAATTGCATATATCCGAGATTTACGTTGTAACCACAAGTACAAGGGGTCTGGTTGAAACATTTCCTTGTTATACCCCGGGGAAAAAAAACCCCTCTTCGGTGATCTGTACTAGTAGTGCACCTAGCTCTTCCAAGTACTGATGCACGGGAGAGGATTTATGTTTGTTTAAGTATAACTTTTAGGTGAGCACTCTTTGTTTATATATTCTCATTGTTATGGCGTTTGTGATTTTAAAACTAACATAGTTTTTGAGGAGGATATATATATATATATATATATTTAAGATAGACTGCCCTCTTCATGTTGGAAGAAAAGATGACCAAAGCAACACTCCAAAGGATGCCTACTGCAATAATGCTTATTGTTGAAATTAATCCAGCCTAACTCAATCTTTGATTCTATATATAATTAGGGTTGGAAACATCTCCGAAGACTTAACCCATCTATAGAAGACTAAGACCAAGTCCCCAATGACAGATCAACAACAGTGTTAATAGATGTTATAACATTAAATTCTTGACTTCCAACATATAAGGAAAATAAGCATGTCAAGTTAGTCTTGTTTTCTTGTGGTTAGGGGCGATGTTTTTGGCAGAATCCTTGAGAACTAATCCTAATTAAATAAATAAAAAAAAATGGAAAAGAAACTGCAAAAAATGATAATTTTATTTGACCCTTGAAAATAAATTTTACACTAGGAAAGTCAAGTTTTTGCCAACTTTGTGAGAGTCAATTTTTGAAAGGTTGATGATTATACTTTAGATGAATTATTGGTAGTCATGGGTTATGTTAGATGCACTTTGAGGGACAGATGGGGTTTTGGAAAATGATGAAAATGTAGAAGCCATATCTTTGAAAGTTCCAAATATATATATATATATATATATATATAAATATTTTTGATAAGCTCCAAAACAAAAACTTGGCAATGAGAAGATTTTAACTTGAAGTGAATGCCAACTTTGAGCAAATTGTATATTTTGGAAAATATGGTTGAATTAGGTTTGCATCATGTGGTGGATGACTGGATGCTCTTCAGAACCACCAGAATTCAAAATGTCAAATGCTTAGGCTCAATGGGTTTTTTTTAATAGAAATTTCAGAATTCTTCTCCACTGATTCGAGATGGAGAAAACACGTAGAGTTCACTAGAAACGAGAATGGCAGGAATGATTTCTTGCACTGCAACAGATCTCAAGCATGAACCCCTGAGCTGGGAGCAGTTGATAAATTTAGATTCAGAACTCTTTGTTCGAGCTCTGCAACTTTATGTATGTAATCCCTTTGCAGAGGTCATAAGAATCTAAATTACCATAACATGAGAATAATCCATACATTTCCATAAATACCAAATACTAAATTATATGTTGAATTATCAAAAGTTTGTACTGTAAATTACACTTTGTGAGAAAGACCACAAATAGTATTTACATTTGAACTTTTTTTTTGGGTAAGGTCACAACTGACACACACAGTTTTGTCTCCCTTGGGGCTCGAACCCCTCACCTACCTTTGGGGAGGAGAGGACGTACCATCTAGGCCAATGGCCGGTGGAACAAGCACAAGGAGGCCATACCTCCTTGGTTTGAACTCAGACTATTCCTAAAGTTCTGCTAAAAACTGCCTGCTTTTGTTGTTATGCAACAATCACAAATATCTTTATTTATGTTATTAATTTTATTTTCATCTTTTCTGGCCAGCTTCATGGGCCTCAAAAGTCACCAGCCAAACTAGCAATTCTTCAGCTCCTTCGAAGTTGACCGTTTCATCTTACACTGAAAAGAGCAGTGCTGAAAATCTTCCTACTCCGAGATCTGATGGTGTTCCTACTCTGAGATCTGAAGGTGAAATTTTGTCATCCTCTAATGTTAAAGACTTCACATTTAATGATTTAAAGAATGCCACAAGAAATTTCCGCTCCGACAGTCTTCTTGGTGAAGGAGGATTTGGTTATGTTTTCAAAGGATGGATCGATGAATATACACTTACTGCTGCGAAGCCTGGATCTGGTATGGTCATTGCTGTCAAGAAGCTTAAACCTGAGGGTTTCCAAGGTCACAAGGAGTGGCTGGTATGTTGTTCATTTTGATCCTTACGAGTTGATTATATTTGGATATATATATATATATATATTGTCCAGTTACTGATGGCTAAGTTTTTGCAGACAGAAGTTAAATATCTTGGCCAACTTCATCATCCAAATCTGGTTAAACTTATTGGGTACTGCACGGATGGCGACAACCGTCTTTTGGTCTATGAATTCATGCCCAAAGGGAGCTTGGAGAATCATCTCTTTAGAAGTAAGTTGTGCATTAGATGAACTTCTAATAAGCCTTATAGTAAGCGTAGTTGATGTGTAAACCTTCCAACTCTATATTTATAGGTAATCTATGCTAAATCTTTGGCGTTGGTCTTTTTCTATATTCCAACAAGCATTTCCCTTAGTATTCTTCCCTATACATGTTTATTGTTTTCGTTCCTTTTGTTTCTTCTGTTTTTCTACGTTTTTTCATTTGGTGTGTTGTAGAATTATGGGAAAAGAAAACCATCCGTCTGCTACAGAAGATAGCCCCTGTAATTTCTGTAATGAAATGATGGGATTGAATTGAACCGGTGATACGTCCAAGATGGCAAAGTAATATGCCATGTCTGCTCCCAAAAATTTCAAATGTGTGCATCTGTTCACTTAATATGAATGTCTGTGACTACATTGCCAAGAGATTAACAAAATTGTCAGCTGTCTTTAATAAATTGGTGTCGTATGTCGGGCCTCCAAATAGAATTCAATTGATCACAAAACTTAGAACATGTTTTGCATATGATTGACCAATAACCTTCAAAAAAAGTAGCTATAAGAAAGCCAGGATGAATGGCTCTCATTTGATCGTTGTCCTGTGAAGGACTTGAATTGTGATTTTTTATTTTTTTTCCTTATTCTGATTTCAGTGTAATGATTGTTTCGGTCTAGTTTATTTTTAAATTAATCTGCTTCACAATATTTATGACCTTCACATGCTTGAAGCACTTGTCTCAAATTGGTAAGTGTATGGAATCTCTCGCTAGTTATGACTGAAAACATTCTTATTTCTTGCTTAATAGGAGGAGCCCAGCCACTTTCTTGGGCTACAAGGATTAAAGTCGCCATTGGTGCTGCTAGAGGCCTCTCTTTTTTGCATGATGCCGAAGCACAAGTCATATATCGTGATTTCAAGGCTTCTAATATCCTACTAGATGCAGTACGTTGACTAAAAAGAAGTTCATTAACATTTGAATAACATTTTACTGAATTTTTTTTGTAAAGATAATAATTTAGAACTTTATTATATAACTGGCATAATGATGCTCTTGGGATACAGGACTTCAATGCAAAACTATCCGATTTTGGTTTGGCTAAGGCAGGGCCTACTGGTGATAGGACTCATGTGTCCACTCAAGTTATGGGTACTCATGGCTATGCAGCTCCAGAATATGTTGCTACAGGTCCGCTAATCGCCTGTTTTACTGTGCTATTGTTGCTCACATACCTTTAATATTGTGACACTAACATTGTGTTAAACCTCTTGCTGATGAACAGGTCGGTTGACAGCAAAAAGCGATGTCTACAGCTTCGGGGTTGTTTTGCTGGAACTATTATCCGGGCGTCGTGCTGTTGATAAAACTAAGATTGGCATAGAGCAGAATCTAGTGGATTGGGCAAAACCATATCTTGGTGACAAAAGGAAATTATTTCGGATTATGGATACCAAGTTGGAGGGCCAATACCCTCATAAAGAATCCTTCACGGCTGCAACCCTAGCCGTACAGTGCCTACAAACCGAGCCTAAACTCAGGCCACGAATGGCCCAGGTTTTAGTAGCACTGGAGCAGCTGCAGCTCCCCAACAAGGCAGCCAAACACTCACAATCCGACCACCAGACTGTTTCTAATCCTGTTCGGAAGTCGCCTTTGAGACACCACCGGTCAACTAGAAATGTGACGCCCTCTGCATCCCCGTTGCCACCCCACCGGCAATCTCCACGTGTACGTTGAGTTGATCAACATGTCAGTTGATCCGGTATTTCGATGTAAATTTCTTCTTTTGCTTCCATATTTCTGTGTCTATATAATGTTTGTTGGAAATTTGGAATGTATTTTTACTGATACTGAGTACTGCGTTATGCAGAACGTATCATCACCACCTGTATCATTTATTTTATGAGTGTCTCAAGGTAGCTCTATATTTCATTGGGTGGTGCAAATTGTTTTCTTCTTCTAATTCTGTTTACACCTGGAATTGTTTGTTTGTTTAAGTTCTCTCTGTACTAAAGGCTGTGTTGGCATGGAATTGGAATTGGTGGAGTTGGAAAAAAACAACTCACAAAATTGAACCAAAATTTTCTCTAATTCCAAAACTCTAATTTCATGCATATGAAGCATTTGTATATCACTTTGATTTTGTTATGAACATATAAATTATTCTTCTGACAAGTGAACCAATTGCCAATTCCATAAGCACAACATTAATTTTCTATGGTTTCTGTAAGTGCATTATTGTGGCTAATCCATGGTTTACAGTATTGGTCGCGGTGTGACGGATTCGAACAAAATCAGTGTAAACTGACCGATATGCGTCGCGCATCGGGCTTAAAAAATGATCGCACATTGGACGATATGACGAAAAAAATAAAAAATCTATTCAAACAGGAATTCCACAAAAAAGATAGAAAATCTATTCTTAACATAATAGGAATTCCACAAAAAAGATATAGAAAATATATTCTAACAGGAATTCCACATTCATAAAAATAGTATAATATTCTTGTGTATCACTCTCCTATTCTTTAACATTGAATACTAAAAAGAATTTTCAAATAAGTTAAATTGGTTAGAATTATATAAAACTTGGAAAGTCCTTTGTAACAACTAAAAAAATAATGAATCAAACTCATCTTTAAATTAGAAGTTTGAACTATTTTGAGTTACATTTTGCAAATCAAAGACCAATTTATAATTAGATTAAACCCATAGAAATAAGGAAATTATTTTACAATATGTGTCTTCACTTTTTATCAATGTGTATAGGTTTATATCTCTATATCAATTGTCCACAGAAAGTAGAAAAACACATTTAGAAAAAAGAAAAGAGAGTGCGTGTAACGACCCGTCCGCTCTCTTCGGGCTCAGGGTTGCGTTTACATAATTAGAATGCCAACAGTGAGTTGGGTAATGGAATATGGTTTGAAAGCACTTATAAGGGGTAAATAAGTAAACTTGCTCTTTTACCCAAATTTTTACTTCTTTTTATTTTTTTCAAAATAAAACTATTCAACCCACAAAGTAAAAATTAAATGCAAGTAAGTTAAAGATTATAGAGTAACGTGAGAGATTGACACTGTAATTTTAGCAAAGAAACCCATCAAATTTTGAGAGAAAAACTTCGGAGACTTGCGAAACAATCCCTATCTTTTAAGCAAATTAGAATGGACCCACTGTGCTATACCAAGAAGTAAGAACTAGTTGTAGAACACCTGTAACTTTGCGAATCCACCTTCTGTTGATTGGTCCATTTTTGACAGTCCACTCGTTCAATGAACTCAACGAGTGCTTAAACCCTAAAAACCTAGCAAAAATGGGCTTACACTCAACTGTGCTTGCACGTTTCCCAATATTTCTGTTCTGACTCCGAAATCGAGACTCGGTCGAAGTTTGTTTTGACAGTTTAATATGACAATTACAATGATATATCTCACACCAACAACCTCTCTTCTAAGCGATGTGGGATGTCACAATCACCTTTCTTGGGACCTAGCATCCTCGCTGGCCTATCCCCACGACCTTATGCATGCTCCCTCATTTTTAGTTGTGGATCTGATACCATATGTAACGACTCATCCTTCCCTGTGTAGATATTATCCGCTTTGCATACTCTCTATGTTCATGATTTTTAAAACTAGTATACACAGTTGAGTACCCATAGGGACCAGAGACACGTGTCCCCTGGATTTTTTCCTTACTTTATTTTTCTATATATATTTTCCTATAATATGTATATATGTTTTGGAAATGTATAAAAATGCCCCTCCTGAAATTTCTCCTTCCATTGTATACTTTATGTTTACTTAAATTTTTTTTTTCTTACATTGTTTCATTATTATATTCTATATATGTAATTTATTAATTTATCTCATCTCAAAAATATCAATTTCTATATATATATATATCCACATCTCTCTCTCTCTCTCTCTCTCTATATATATATATATATATAGACACACACACACACTCCATAAACACATAGTGTACAATGTGCCCCCTCTTATGTATTATTTGTTTGTTTTCATACTCACCAAAAAGGACTTGAGAAGGTAAATCCCAAGTCTCTTTTTGTTTGCTTAAATAAAATATAAAAAATAATAATAATAAAGGAAAAATAAATAAACTCTTTCTCATCGAACACTAGTCACCTTTTTTTCTCCCTTATTTAAGAAGACTTGTTACTTTGCAAATCATGTGGTCCCATACGAGTTAGCATCCAACACGGACTTTCCAATGGACCACTCAATGAACGTTCGAATGACCAACTAGAAATAACGCGTTGTGTGTGTGTATGGTGTGTGTGTACGATCAATATGTCTGTATATATTACAAATCCTACCATGACACAAATCCATATGATTTTGGGAATCTTATTTTCACTAGGGCACTTTACTCATATGACTATATATATATATATATATATATATATATATATATATCTCTTTCCACTTCATTATCAATCCATAAACCCTAAACACTTTCTTCTCTACAACTTGTTAGATCAAACAATTCCCATCTTTTCCATATGGATTCCAAACCTTCCGTTGTTTTCGAGATGTCTTCCAACCCAGTTTTTCGAATTTGGCACAAACAGTTTAAACCCATTGACAACCAATCTTCCTGGGTTGAGTTCAGCATTCACTCCAGTTCCAGTCACAAGAAATTATGGATGTCAGGGTTAAACAATGCAGAGCCCAAAGTTCTTCGCGAAACCGAGCACCCTCTTACCGGGAAAGCAGTCCGGATTGATGTAGCATCCATTATGGAGAATGGAAGCTCGTCGTATAAGTTGATCAGTATCATGTTGGATTCGCTTGGAATCGACAAGGATGATAGGTTGTTGGTTACAGGAGAGATAATTTCCACCGCTCGCAAGATCATAGATGATGAATGGAATGGAAGAGAACAAAACTTGTGGTTTATGGCTGTGGAGATCAACATCACCACTGTGAAGCTATGTGAGGGTCAGAAAACAAACAAATTGATCAGTTCCTAAATGTTGTATATGCTCTTTTTACTTTTCTTTTTTTCCTACCAAGTTTGAGCATCTATTTTAACGGATCGTTGTGAAAGGATTGTATTTTAATATTAACGTCTAATGAGAATTAGTTTTACTCTTAACATGTTTTATTGATTATGAAGCCTAACTCAAAAACAACAATCAAGTTTGGGATTTTTGAAATCAAAATTACAACCCAACAAGGCTTTTGACAAAGGAATGTCATTAGTGGCACCAAACCCTAACAATCTTTCCATTGGCAATTTCGAGACAAAAATTAAAAACCCAGTAGTCCTCAACCTAAGTCACACACAGACTACAAGTCACACAATACTACACATAGTGGGACTCACGCATCCAAGGGTAAAAGTTCATACCATCATTTAAAGTGGATGGGGTGTGATAATACACAATACTAGCACTATAATGAAAAATTACCACCCTAAAATCTACCATAATCTTCTATCAGTAGCAGCTTGTATACAAAGTAAAATCATAGATTTTCATAAACTGTAGCATTACTTATGGGGACTCTAATCACTCCTAATATATAGAATTTCGGCCATAAATTTCTCAAGAGGAAATTTCCAGAAAATTCAGTTTTAAAATAAAAAATAAAAGATAAAAAAATAAAAAGGAACGAAAGAAAAAGGAAAAAAAAAGACGTAATGCAATGACCTAGATGTCATATCAACATATTGAAAGTATATAAACCAGAAGAGGTGAAATAGGCACTAGATTTAGTTTATATAAACAAAAGAACTGCCAATAAATGGCATGTCAAAATACAAATGCGATGCACCCGTAACTATAACAAAAGTTTCACAATTTCATACATTTTGAATATTCTGTTATAAAAGTCAGGAAAAGAAGCGGTAAAATATGTGCAGCACCAAAGCTTTAAATGAAACAAACCGATACACCATTTGTAAAAAAACCCCACCAAAAAACACATCTAAAGCTAAGGAAAACAAGGAAACACACACTAGGCACACCACACACTTGTTATAGTTCAAATCCATTTTCAAGATCTACAGCTACAATTTAGATAGCAAGGACAAATTAAAAACTGCACTGAGTCAGTAGTATTCTTTCACCTCCTTCAGATACCGTCAATGGAACTTGACGCTGCAATATCACCTCTTCCACTCTGCTTGGATCACCTTTTCTGAAATGGAGAACCCCCACAATACCGGCCAATCAGAAAGTTGAAAAGCATTCAAAAAATATTAGTAAATAAATCTGAAAATGGCAATTTATATACTAATATTTTGAGTTCACAATCGAGGAGATAAATTAAAATAAGCCATCACATCTGTGTATATAGTGTGTGCGTGTCTATCCAACAAGAAAGATGGTTAAGAAAAGTTAAATTTTAAACTCAACCCCTCCAAAATCAAAAGACCAAAGCAAAAACATTCCTGGAATTAGCAAGCAATCAACGAAACACTCCAAAATTACGTGAGATGAGCTTAAGACAGGAAAATGTCTGGCATAAATAGGTTCCCTGATATTTTTGGAATCAAAAAGCACCGATCACCATATATATTGTTAAGCCTCCAACGAAATCCGTCACGCACACATAGTATCAGGAGTTCTTACCATTAGCATCTCTAGAAGACAATAGGGATTTTTCACTTCTGATCCCTCCTTTGCTGCTTGCTTGAACCAGCCTCTGAACTCGCGGTGACAAACTCAACTTTCCATTGGTAGAAGATGGCAGAGAATGCCGCCTGGTTAAACCATTCTCCTCAGTCCCATCTTGACTGAACCTCGGGGAGCCTTGCGCTCTAAACTTGGCCTTTGCAGACTCAGTTGTTGCCATGTAGCTAGGAACTCTTGGTGTGTTATGTAACCCATTATCTTGAGAATCCTGCTTTGCAGGTAATGAAGCTCTTCTCCGGCTGGTTCTCTGGTACTCATTGCTGGTTTGACCATCCTTTGAGCTAAGCTCCTTATCTGCCAGGGGAGTATTCTCATTTGTACCATTTTTCTGTTTAGGTTGCAAGTTAACTGGAGGATGTTCATTTAACTCATCAACAGGACCATCTGCTGCTGGCGATTTTGGACTTGTTTCTTCATCAGAAGGTTTTGGCACTGCAACTGCTGTATCTTTTTCCACCTTCTCAGAAGGATCGCCAATGCCCTGCTCTGGACCATCAGGGGCAGCAGTTGATGCCTTCTTAATGCGACTTGGTTTCTCAGTATCAATCTCTGGCCGAACAGAAGACTCTTTGGAGGGATTGGAAGTTTTCTTCAAATTACGTTTAACCTTCTCAATCTCATTCTGTGGATGTTCCTGAACAGAACTAACTGGATGATTTGAAACTTTCCTCATGTTACGTTTAGGTTTTTCAGACTCTGAAGTGGCCTTGCTCGAGCCATTCTCAAGCTTTGAAGTGGGCAGTCTCTGGACACTGCGTTTTGGCCTTGCTTGATCAGTTTCTACTGTTTGGATACTGCCATGCTTTGTCTGAAACTTTGAGTCAATAATTGGTTTTGAAGGGGTTTCCCAAGCGCGTGACATTGTCCAGCGGTTTAGCCAATCCCAGGCAGAGTTTGGTTCCCCAGGACCATACTGAAAGTGCAGAGGCATTGTTGTAGGCGACAAAGCAAGTAGCTGAAATCAATGACAATGTATAATTTAATACTCATTTTAAAATAGCAATTCAAAAAACAAGGGCGGAATCAAAAATATATATACTACATGGGACACAGGAAAATCAGCACTTGATTTATTCCTTTTTTTATTCTTTTTTCTTTTTTCATTTTTTGGTCATACATACATGGCACCTATATTACTCAGGTATATAGGAATAAGTGTGGAGGAAGAGGAGGGGGGAGGAGAGGAGGTTCAGGGATGCAAAGATCAGTGAGTCATATTTGCCCAGCTTAAGAAGCTTAGTTGTAAGGACTCCATTTAATAATTCATCCTATTAGATTGTCATAGTTAGTAACTTTACAAAGCCTTTCTCCCAAGTCTTGGTCAGCATCATAAATCTTGTATCGCCATTCCATTTGTAGATGTTATAATATGCTACTATCCTATGTCATAGTCAACAACTTCACAAAGCCTATATCCCAGGTCAGGAGTTAATTGTCATAAATTCTGTATCGTCATTCCATTTGTAAATGATACAATATGGTATTATCCTATGTCTAGGAGCTTTACACACTTTTATGCTCTGTTCGTTAGGAAGGAAGTAAATTGGATGGAAGGGAGAGAAGAAGGGAAGGATGAGACATCCCTAGAGAAGAGATTATGGACTTCCCTCGTTTTGTTCGGTTGGATGGAAGAGAAGAGAAGAACTTACCAAATTTCTTTGTTCGTTGCGAGAGAAGGGAAGAGAGAATTTAAAATTATTTTTATCATTATACCTTCATTATTTATTTTTTTTTCCGGTAAATAGCAATCATTTTTGCTACTCATTTAAACAGTACCATTAATTTCACTCTCATTTAAACAGTACCATTAATTTCACTCTAATTTATTGTTTGTTTTAATTATATATATATATATATATATATATATATATATATAATCATATTTCATCATGTAGACTGTATATTTTTTCTTTATGTAGATTGTGTATTTTTTCTTCTGAATCCTCTTTTTTACTAATAAGGAAATTATATAACAAACAATCCATATATATATATATATATACTTTCTCCTTTATCTTGCCTTAACCTTCTCCTTTATCTTACATATATATATATAATCCTTGTTTGGTCGAGATCTAGATCTATATATATATATATATATAAAACACATGAATCATATCTTGATAGGTCTTTTTTTTTTTTTTTTTTTTTTTTTTTGCGTGAGATGAGATGTGTAGGGTTTAATTTTTAATATTTGGATAGGATAATATTGTAATTTAATATTATTATAATAGCTCCACTTGTTTTCTCTCGTCTTCCGCCCAAATTTGGGCAGATGAAAATTTGTTAAGAGGGAGGGATAAGACATCCCTCCTATTATCCTCTCTCCGTGTCTCCTTCCTACCGAACGAAGGAATTTTGTTCCTTCCCTTCTATTTTCTTTCCACCCCTCTTTCTTCCTTCCTACCGAACAGAGCATAAAACTTACTGCTGTTGTAGTTTCCAATGAGATATCCAACGAAACTGATAGAACCAATAGAAATACAGAATAATATATAATTGACCTTACCTTACAAACAAAATCATTTATCGACAGCTTCTCTACTCGAATAGACGTATTAGTTTCACAAGAATTCAAAAGTTTAGGATCCTGATGGAAGAAAGCAAACATTATTCAGCTAAACAATAGTATGAAATCAAAATATCAACAGTACCAACTATAAATGAATCTGCAGACATTTTTTTTTTCCTTATAGGACAGTAATATACGAAAAACCATGGATCAAGATGCAATTATTGCAACACATTCAGAAATTACCAGATTTAATTTACTCCCATTATCAGAACGTCTGACCTTTTGACCACGAACAAGTGCTTGAAGCTTAACAATTCTATGTATGCAGTATAAAGTAGCAACAGCCTGTCTTCTAACCAAATGACCACGAATAAATGCTTGCAGTCTTATGATGCCCTTGAGAGCTCGAAATGCCCGGCGAGCCTTCAAAGATATCATACTGAAATTAGTACAAGTAAAACATTGACCGAAATATGAGTCTTGTACATAATTTACAAAACATGACTGAACTCTAAAAATAGAGTTAAGGAACACTAATATTTAGGTGAGATTGAAACATACACGTGTATAGCCAATGTGTGCAGTCAGATAAATAAAAAAAAATAGATATTTATACAGAGTTAGAAAATTATGCATGCCAGTAGCAATAACCAATAAGTATTGGGAGCAATATTGGAGAGGCTAGCATTACTATGATTTTTGTGTCAGCATAAAAGGATAGCAAGAAATGACTTCATCCCAACATACATTTGGAACATTGCAAGAACCAGAGAGCATTGTCAATTGCATGGACAATCTTCGCAGGACAGACTTAGGCAGTTAGATCCATCATTTCAAAGGTTGTTAGAATCGGGACCCTACGTTTAACCGATTGAAAGGTTCATAGGATCGAGTCATTGGATCAGATCACGGATCATAAAAGCGTACAAATGACAGGAAATTGGATACAAACTAGATGAAGAATTTTAAAATAGACGAGAAAAAAACAAAATTACAAAAAGTATTACAACCACAACATAAGTATACATAAATTCATCCGAGTAATTTTGATAGTGTAATTTAAAAGGTAGAATCCTAATAACCATGCAATTTACAAGTTGTAAGATTGTGCATAGGAAATTAAGGTTCATTTTTTCCTTGCAAAAATATAAATTTTGTGATACCAAAATTAAATTTCAATGAAACATCCCAGATAATTGTTTATTATAATCTACCAACAACCAACTATATATGACACAACAACCAACTTTTTTGACAAAAGTCATAAAACCAGTTCAATTTGCAAATAATTTGAAGTATCATGACAAAGTACACTTTTTTCAGTTATATATATATATATATAGAATCCTAATAACCATGCAATTTACAAGTTGTAAGATTGTGCATAGGAAATTAAGGTTCATTTTTTCCTTGCAAAAATATAAATTTTGTAATACCAAAATTAAATTTCAATGAAACATCCCAGATAATTGTTTAGTATAATCTACCAACAACCAACTATATATGACACATGACACAACAACTAACTTTTTTGACAAAAGTCATAAAACCAGTTCAATTTGCAAATAATTTGAAGTATCATGACAAAGTACACTTTTTTCAGTTTTATATATATATATATTGGAACAATTTAATAACCATCCTACTACGAAACCATGGCAATCCTGAACGATCCTATGGCAATACCACTTTGATCCCCTCCACGATTTTTCATGTGACTGGATTAATCTGATAATTTTGAATTGTTGCTGTACAAACGTACGATCCATGTCAAGATTTTGATAGCCATGCCTAATTGCAATTCCACAAGAACCCAGAAAAGATGAGAAATATGAGTTGAAAAGAATTTATCATAACCATTCAATTTGACACCAAGCATTTTCAAAAGTTCAATAAATGAATATGTACCAGTTGAGATCAGTATGAAGTTCAAAGTTAGGAACATACTTAATTTGCTTGTGCAAAAACCTGTAGCAAGACTATCATTGTAGTGCAAATCATTAAATTATAGTTTCTTCATTCCTTGAAAAAATATATATATCCTTTGGTCCCAAAGGGCAATGCATCTTATTGTTTGTATATTTCTCCAACTACATTATAGAGGCATGCACGAATCTCATAATGTTGAATTGCTGCTGTACAAACCTACGATCCATGTCAAGATTTTGATAGCCATGCCTAATTGCTATTCCACAAGAACCCAGAAAAGATGAGAAATAGGAGTTGAAAAGAATTTATCATAACCATTCAATTTAACACCAAGCATTTTCAGAAGTTCAATAAATGAATATGTACCAGTTGAGATCAGTATGAAGTTCAACATTAGAAACATACTTAATTTGCTTGTGCAAAAACCTGTAGCAAGACTATCAAATCATTAAATTATAGTTTCTTCATTCCTTGAAAAAAAATATATATCCTTTGGTCCCAAAGGGCAATGCATCTTATTGTTTGTATATTTCTCCAACTACATTATAGAGGCATGCACAAATTACACAATATATTATGCCAGACTCCCAATGCTCCAAAGCTTTGGAGACTTGAGCATCTAAACACCCTATGTATGAATTAAAGCACAACGATGTGTGCTTCTGTTCACATTGGAGCACAAATGCATCTTTAATATGATGAAGCTGATAAATTTTTTGGTCTTGTTTGAAGTTGCCGACTTCAAATTAAAAGAAAATTGCTAAAATGTACCATAGATTTCTTTCAGAATAAATAGTCAAGGTTTCTTCAAGTCAAAATTGTGTTTCATAATTAACTTTACAGCTTGATGCATCCCCAGTCACCACAACAAAAAACACGACATAAATTGACAAAAGAATAAAATCATTGCAAAAAATTTGAGCAGTAACAAATTTCATATTGAAAGAGAAATTCAAGCACGAAGCTGATGGATTTAGACAATGGAAAATAACTGGAAGGGATCGTTAGGATAGCTGTAAAAGCTGAAAATTCAACACGTGAACGGTTATTCCATTGCCTAACGTTGAAGCACAACAGTAAAAAAAAATAGAGTAAGAGAAGATTACCAGATAACCCCTGAAAGCAGCCTGTGCCTTTATAGCAGCTTCCTCAAGCATGATTCTCTCAGAATCCTTTGGCGAACCCAGATTTGTGGTTTTTTGTTCATCCCCATCCTGCCTTGCAGAAGATATAATCACCCCATCATTTGGCAATGTGGGAGCTGCTTCCTGTCTTAAGGCTGAGTTCTCTTCAATCCCAGTTCCAGTACAAGGAACCTGCTGTGGAATCGAAGGAGGATCCACTGCCAAATCGTATGCTGGTTCTTTAGAAGAAACCAATGCCGCTTTACCACTTGCAGATTTCTTTACACAATAAACAGAATATTAGTTAGAACTGCAGGTTTTCAAAGCTTCATATGCACCATGGATTAGTCAGAATAAATAAAAGCATAAGATTAGAATATTAAGGAGTCACTGCTGCCAAACAAGCAGCATCTTATCTAATTACTCCTGTAGGAAATAATGAAATTTATCATCAACAATAATGATAAAGTCAGAGTTTGCAACAAGAAGACGCCAGGAATTACAACATCAATGTTGTGATGCACCACACCAACAAGATTCATGCTCCCAAATATTTACAAAACCAGCAAGAAGATAAAATCATGATGAAACCAAACTAAATGGTTGAGATTGTGCATCATCTGTGATATTAACAAAAGTGTTACTGCTAAAGAGGCTAATACAGAGCATAATTGGTTAAGCACAGAAAAATTCAAATTTTGTCAAAGGTCATATGTTTCAGGCACAACTTCACAACACTCATTGCAATGTTGTCAAATGCAAATCGAAAACAGTAAAAGAGGATTTTAGTGTCAATAACTATCTTACCGAAATCTCTCTTCCTTTTGATAAGTTAGATTTTGATGTCTTTTTCCCAAAAAGAACAGTCTTGATCCATTTGCCTGGAGATTTTCCCATCACAACAAGTCCAAAATTCACAAAAACTTGAATCTAAATCAAAAAGCCTGCAGTATTTTACATAATGGAACTTCAGTTTCATGTAAATGCAAGCATAAAATTATTTATGTCAAGGGAAAATAATAATAATAAAATGCCCAAATATAATCTTGTGTAGAGTTAATAAATTCAGGAAAAAATCAAACAGCCCTTAACATACCGGTGTATACAATATTTAGTTGTCTTGTCAAAAGAATAATATTAAGTTAGGGGATAAAGAAAGAAAGAATAACAACAAAGTCCCAATATACAAGTAGACTCCACCCTATCCCATTGGACCGCTTCATCACAACTATGGCTAATTAAATTTTACAATCATCATTACTGATTAAACAAGGGGAAGAGGGGGAAAAAAGCCCACTAAACTCAACCCAGCAGAGAAACCTATCCAACCATAAATATATGCACCTTAAAACATGATACTTGATAAGATCAGATCCATGTTATAAGATAGAGGGTAGTTTTTACAACATAATTTCTCAACTCGTTATAAGCTATACCAAAGCCGCAGACTTTGATGTATATAAAGGAGAAAGAGAAAGAACACTGTTTAATGTCACAACAGTGGCAGCCTCTTGATTGAAATCTTATCCAAGGCAGTTAAAATCTCAGATTCCAACCATGTTTCAAAAAAATATTCCATAGCACCAGTTTATATCTTATTACTTCCTAAATCTTAGCCGAACAAGGGGAACAGCAAAAAAACAGTGAATGCTCCACATTATCATAGGATCGAAGTGAAATCACTTCACTTTTACACTTTTCGTATGCTTTTTTAATCCTTCATACCTGTTACGACAAAGTTTCTCATCTAAATTTCGTTTAAGTTTTAATAGCATGATTCTAACATTCATTACAGACTACACCATCCACTTTTGTCTACCTTGCCCTTTTCTCTCACTAAATCTCAAGTTGGCAATCATGTTAAGTTACGGGAAAATGACACCTGAAATCATGCTTAATTAATGGTAACACCACAGGAAATTGAAAGCTGAAATAACAAAAAGTGATCCCAATATTCTACATGCAATGCAATAGACACACAAATGAATGAGAAACAAAATCAAACAATTGCACTTATCGTTCAGTGTCCAAACTCCCCATAAATTCTTTTCAGGTCCACTCCAAAGTTGACCCACAATATAGGGCATATGGAAAGGAAACCAAAAAGGGCACGAAGCAGCACCAACTAAGGTCAAACCCTTCAAACACAATCCACAACCAAAAACTCAGCCCACAATTGAACTAAAAACCTAACTGTAAAATCACACACAGGAGGAACCATACCAAGAGCCAAATTAACTAAACAAAACCTCTAGAATATGAGCCTATACCAACAATAGTATTCAAAGAAAATGACAAACACATGTGATTCGTGTCAATGTATGAAACAGAGAAGGATCAGATCGAGAAAATAGTAGCAAAAGCGAATCAAAAACAACTTCTAAAAAAATAGAGATCGGGTTCATAAACAATCAAGCACAAAGAGAGGAACCGAAAATAAAGCGATTCGGAGAGCGCATTGGATCTGAAACTTGCCTGACACAATGCAATACTTTGAAGCCCTAAATCGACCATTCCTGTACTCCAAAAGAAACGAAGCGATTAATAGTGTGGAAAACAAAACACGAGATGAACAAAAAGAAATATGCACATAGATCTGAGTAGCGTCGGTGGATAAAAAGAAAAAGATCTAAGATCTTCGTACCTATATGTGTGTGTGTTGTGTGTGTCGTGCTGGGTTGTGTATGTATAAATATATAAACATATATATGTGTGTGCATAATAGAGAAGAATAAGATGGAGGAGAGAGAATGCACCAAGTGAGGATGACGAGTAGAAGGAGCAGCTATGGAGATCCGTCCATTTTACTTCTTCACTCTACAGTGTGTGTTACAATTCTGGGCAGCCCCCACTAAGGACAATTTAGAGGACACCTGAAGATTGCAAATTGTTGGCTTCAAAAAAATATAAATAAAAACAATTTTTTTTTTTTTTTCAAAATAAATAAATAAATTTCTAAAAACAATTTTTTTTTTTCAAAATAAATAAATAAATTTCTTAGAAATTTCAATTAGGTGGGCGAATTTCTCATTTAAAATAATATAAAAAATTCTTAACCTAGAAAATAGAGTAAATTGAGCGGGTTGAAGGATCAACAAAGGCGGAGTATATGTTATATATATATTAAAAAATAGACCCCAAAAAAAAAAATTATGACCTCACATATCAAATCAAGTTTTTAGCGAGATAAAAGTTAAAAATCATCTATAAATAGAGTTTAATCACATATAAATAGAGTTTCTTGATTTCAGAGAGATTTTTTTCTTCTACATATTCTCTTTATTGATTTTTATCTATATTTGTTCAAAAAGATGAGAAATTGACCCCCTCTCAAGTCTCTGTAATTTCCTTACAACCCAAACCTTACGAGGAAAAATATTATGGCCTGTTGAGAAAAAGTGGTTGAAGAAAAGTAAAAATTGATTACATATTACAAATGGATTGGGCTAATAGGAAGAGGAAGAGTAGTACTATGGATTGGGTTGATAGGAAGAAAAATAATAGTACTAAAAATTGATTACATATAGATTTGACTGATAAAAATAATAGTACTAAATTTTTTATAAAAAAAAAATTTTAAAAAAGAAAAAGAAAAATAGACTTGAAGTATAGCCCATTAAAAATTCCGCCCATGAATCATACTCTTAATGTTGAGTTCAACTCTATATCAGTCAGAAACGAATCAGAGTGAAGTTGATATTTAATCAAGTCAAATTTGACTAATTTTGTTACAACAATTCAAGTTTTAAAGATAAATAATATGCATTCGTGTATATATATATAAAAAAAAAAAAAAATTCATATTCAAATTTTTATTTTCAAGTTAAACTAAGATGAGAGAAGAAACGGAATCAGGCAAGTGATTTTTTTTTTTTTTTTTTTTTTTTATCTAAAATTAGTTTGATTAAGAAATGAATCACTTTTAAATAGTTATTTATTGACCCATGACTTGGTTTTTTTTTTTTTTTTTTTTTTTTGGTGACATTCCTCTATTTAATGACCATTCTTATTAAATTCTAAAACATGATTAGCACCCCACATGGACCACATGTGCTTTTAACTCCCTTGAAAGCAAAAATGAAATTAATGAATCCCTTTTACATCATTTTGGAGACTAGTCCCATGGCGGTCCAAAACAGTCCCGCAAACTTTCAGCCAAACAATCCAACATACCATGACATTTAAGGTTTGGTTTGAAAATTGAACTTTTGAAAACAAATAATGAGGGGTATGGTTGGAAAATGAGTGAAGAGTTTTAGGTCAACTTAGTTAGATGGTTTACAACGATTATCAACAGTCCTAAATTTGCATCGTCACAACATAAGAAGCACAAACACTTTTACAAAGGTAACGTGTATCTGTGTCAAATACAACACTCTATTAATACTTTATGAAAACGCGCCTGAAATTTATGGACATGTTAATAATTTAGAAATATTTGTGTATTACTTTAGACACTTGACCGACACATTCCTAACACTTGGTCAATATATTAATAACATTTGACTAACGCATCGTATTAGAAACAAACATATAATAATGTTGAAAACGATACAAATATTCAAAGCGTCCAACTTCTTTTATTTTTTAAGAAAAAATTAGCATTATGCTTAGGGAATATGGTAACAAAACTATAATAATAATGATAGGCACTAGAGTGTATTAACATATAATGACACTTCTCATATATATGTTATGACAGTTCATAACATGTCATATGTTATGTCATTATATACATATTCATATCATATCTGTATGCTATAGTTTAAAGATTTAAAGGTATCACCGTGTCCATGTCGCCCTACTTGGGTCATAAGGTTTAGCTCAAACAAGAAACGACCTAAGCTATGTCTAAATTTCTAGGGCACAAAGCTGTTCCAAAAGCCTACCCACTTCGAAAGAAGTTTAGGCCCAACCCAACCTACCCTAGTCATAAGACTCATAACATAAACCTACTTACTATTAGGTCTTATGAGTACTGCGTGAGAGCACAAGGATACCACTATACCAGGCCTTGCGTGAAGCTTCCATGTTTCTGTTGACCCACTGGCCAAGCTGTGGTGTGAACTGCAAACAAGATAGAGAACACAGGCTTTGGGCCTCATCCAAACTCCAAATTTTAGATTTAAAACAATGGCACGAACAAATCTTATATTTTGATTATTGGTTAATTAGTTGATCATTGTAACTTTAACAATAAGCTTGTCAACTTCTTGAAATGAGCAATGAGATGGGTAAGGGTGCACAGTTCGGTTTCGGACCGATTTGAGAGTGTTTTGGAATCAAACCGATCCCAACAGTTCAAAAAATTTAGATTCAAACCAAATCATTTACCAAAGGAACCGAACCAAATCAAATTGTAAGAAACTGGTTCGATTCAGCTCTACGGTTCTAGTTGAACCATTTTCCCTCCTGAATTGTATACTCTTGTGTACCAATAAACCAACACATTCAAATATGCTAATACATACATAAACTTGTAGAAGAGAAGTGAATACATTCAAACTACTAAAAACACTATGAAATTTGAACTCCTGACCTCCCTTTTGAGGGTGGATAAATTATACCAGCTGAACTAGTTGTTTGGTGGTAAAATGAGCATGTTATTTAACTTAATTGACATATTTGAATTGACAAATATAAAAATTATACTATATTAATTTCATGTATAATATGTTGGAACTAGAACACAAAGTGATCTACGGTATTGATCTATTTAGATGCAAAATAAACTTGAAAATCATATTGAAATTTGTTAAAAACGGATCAAAATCCTCTCTTGCACAACAGTAAACCGATCTCTTTCAGTTAATGATGCCCGTTAATAAAATGTTGTGATACAATACTAAACATTACAATATTTTTCTAACGTGCATTACTAACTAGGAAAAAACCAACTGTTGAAATCTACCTAATCTCATCTAAACCAGGTGGAATTTATTTAGACTGAAAGGAGCTAGGTCTTATATATAGTATTAGTCACGCCAACCCTCATCACATCAGATTGTAACAATACAGCCAATTTTGGGATGGGGATGTCCCATTCCAAATGGTCCCATTGACATTCCCAATGAGTAGAATTTCCTTGTCCATTGATTTCAATTAGAGCTATTTAAATCAAATACTTTATCAAATGCATTAAAATTATAAAATAGTATGTCCTATTCCAATTAGTCACATCTCAAATAATGTAAGACTTAAGTTTAGGATATCGTCTTCATTCACACTATAGGTTCCAAAGGCTTCTCTCTCAAATTTGCTCGAGTAAAAAGGGTTATTTATGTGTTAGTTAATTAAGTCGTTTTGGATTTGGATCCAAGGAGAGATTATAGAATTCATTCAACATGCAATGAACATCACCCACTCAAATTGATGATTACAATTCAAACATTACACTGTTTCATCTTAAATGCTCATGTGCCCTGATGATATGGTATCACACATTAATTAAATGAAACAAGTGCAAAAAACACTCTTAAAATATATCCTGTGTAACATTTTTATCCCTATTTTAAAATGGGTGCAAAAAACACCCATAATCTTTTCACATTGTGCAAACACTCAAAATCTTTTCACATTGTGCAAAAATATTCCATCTGACATAAATTAGCCCATCTGACATAAATTAGTGTTGTAATACCCGTTTTATTCTTCTGAAAATGCCCAAGAGGGTATATATGCTACTAAACTCATAGTTTAGGGGTGTTATATGCATATTACCTTTTTTATTTTTAATTTTTTTTTTCTCTCTCTCTCTCTCTCTCTATATATATATCTCTAAAAAAAAAATTTTTTTTTTTTTTAGAGATATATATATAGAGAGAGAGAGAGAAAAAAAAATTAAAAATAAAAAAGGTTTCAAAATTTGTAGAACAAGGATTTGAATGATTTGTGATTTCAGTTTACTATTTTCTACTATTTTTTTTTTCTTTATTTTTTTTTTTTTCGTACCAACACTGTTAAAAAGAAAAAAAAAAAAAGAAAAAAAAAGAATCCCAATATCTGTGCACTAGTTTTCGGAGTTTGAATGAGATTTGTTTTTTTTAGTTTGTACTTTATTTTTGTTTTTTTATTTTTTATTTTTATCTTTACTTTTCTTTTATAATTTTATTTTTACTTTCTATTTGTATCTTTACTTATTCATTGCCCGCATCCTCCAATAGTGTCCTTTTTGGTCATTTTAGAAAATTATTTATTTTTATATATTTTATAAAATGGTCCAGTAAGTGTAATTTAGTCAACTTAGGGTTTAAATTTGTCATATGGATCCATTTGCACCAAACTGAAACTTTATGAATGTTTTTTGCATGTTAGGGGTGTTCTCCAATAATGTCATTTTCGGTCATTTTGCAAAATCATTTATTTTTATATATTTAATAAAATGGTCCAGTAGAGGTAATTTAGTCAACTTATGGTTTAAGTTTGTTAGGGAGACCTATTTTCACCAAATTAAAATTTTAGGAGTGTTTTTGTACGTGAGGAATGTGATATGCACGTGTTTTATGCACTTGACCCTTAATTAAATATGGACATATAAATTAAAAAAAAAAATGCATATATTTATGTGAGTTTTATCATTATGTGTCATAACGCGAGATACTATGTCATTACTACACTTGGACTACGTCACATAAAGTGAGTGTGAGAGTGGAAGCAAGTGCAAGAGCGATAAAATATGAGTTATAGAGAATGAAAATAAGAAAAAGCGTGTGCAAAACGCGAGAGCAAGAGTAGCACGAAAAGTAACAGTGACACTAGTTTAGAACCCGGAACATTGGGATGCGCTTTATTTTACGCATTTTGTTTTTGACTAAAACAGAAACATTAATTTTATTGTACGAGTGTTTTGAAAAAAAATCGGAAGCACGTTTTTAGGCGTTTTGTTTTTGGCCCTTGTTGCTCTAATATTATGGTTTTGGACCATGAACAGTTGTCAAAATAAGAAAAAAATAATTTTTTTGGTGTTTTGGTTTTGAACCACTGTTCACGAAGTATTTTAATACTGTGTAAAATAAAACAAGGTCATACCAAATATGCTTTTATTGCTAAAATTAATTTTGTAGCAGTCCAAAAACAAAAATAACATAAACAAAATGCATGCCAAATGAGCCTCAATCTCACATTGTTTTCAAGCAATTAATGTATATGTAACGGGTGGTTAAAGCTATTAATGTATTGATAGAATGTATGTGTAATTGGTGGTTAGTATTCCAAGTGTACTTTTGATAATTAATAAATAACAATAAGATATGGAAAATAACAATGACACATCCAAAAATGTTAAGCAGAATTGTTACATCTTATATTTGATTAACTTTATTTTCTTATATTTTATTTTTTTATATTTTCTATTAATCAAATATAATAGGTTTAATAATTTTACTTAACTCTTCGATGTAAGTATCATTATTATATAAAAAATAATTTTTATGCCGACTAATTGTAATAAATTATTAAATTTATTATTTTAATTAATTATTTATATAAAAAAAATTATTTATATTTTACATAAATAATTAATTAAAATTATTCGGTAGTACACCGACGCTAGTATCACTGCTCATAAGATACTGAATGATGCCATCCCATAAGTCGCTTAGACATGGATAAGATACTGAATAATGCTATCCCCATAAGTCACTTAAACATGTCCTTGTCCAACTCGTTTTCATTGGTTTCAATCGATGTCCTACACTAGTTTAAATTAATGCTAAAGTGCTGGCAAGTCTATATGGAAATTCATTGCTTTTGAGAGTTATGCATTGGCCAATAGGTTGAATTACCTTCTATATGTATATATAAACTCAGCAAAACCTTTTCATTTGAAACTCAATACATGAATCATGTTTAAATATCATTCCACTTTATTTAAGGATGTAGTCTCACTTAAATAACATATTATTTAGTTTTTTTTTTTTTTTTTTTTGGGTCTCATGTGTGTATACATTCAAACAGAATTGAATCAATTCATCTAAATCGATCTGTTCAATTAGGTACCGGCTCTGTCCCGTGTATGACGATCATAATTAATAAAATACAGTACGAGTACGAAAATATACGAGTATAATTTGATATTTTTATGAAAACGTAAAAATATAAATGCGGATGCGGATGCGTATGTATATAATACATTATATACATTAAAAATTCGGAACAAAAAATTTGACTATACACATCTTATTATTTTCTTTTATATCATAGATTTGTAAGGATAATGAATAATAGGTAACAAATAATAAAATAAATATATTACAATTAACAATAACACAATAATCATAACAGAAATAAACTATCTAAATATAATTAATCAATAACCATATGTCCATAACATGATCAATTCATCACAAAATTAATCATCACAAAATTAATGAAAAAAATTCAAATTCAATTAATCAACTATGTTACTTAAATTAAAAATAAAATTAAGCTGCTTGAACCTTTTGGGATACTTTTGAACAAATTTTAATATCTCTACCTTGTACCCCGGATAAATGTGATTTGACTATTGAAATACCTCCATAATAATTAGAGTTTTGTTCAACATGATCCCAAAATGCATCCTTTTTTTTTTTTTCATTTTTCCTTAATAGCCTATATATTTATAATAAATGCATAAATATATGGTGTGATATTTGTGAAAATATCTTTATATTCTACTAAAACATCTAGTGAATGTGGAGATTTACTAAAATAATAATAATAATAATCATAATAAAGATACTAACAAAATTTAAAAGATATCAAAACAAAACAAAAAATTTATAAATGTCTACAAACATTAATAAAAATCTATCATTCTTTAAAATTATATTGTTCCACAATGTATATATATGTGTTTCATTACTTTGATTAAAGATCAAGTATTGGATGGACAATAAGAAGAAATTAAAAACAAAATAGAGTGATAGTAGAACAATTGAGTGGTCAGAACCTTTTTCGGGATTGCATAACAAATAGTATTATTTTGATATTGTGAAAGAGAAGGCTATACCAAACAAAAGACAATAGTTCGTATTAAAAATGTGTGTTTGAGAAAAATACACCATTAGAAACGTGAACGAAATAATAATAAAATAATTAAGTTACCCTAAAATATAAATACGAATTAAACCTTTCAACTCTAATTGACAAGTGGAAGTATTTTTTTAAAATTCGTAATAACGTTAGACAATTTTTTAAAGATTGAGTGAAAACATGGCGAGATTTTTGGCTGGAGGATGAAAAATTGTCTCTCTATTTCGTTCCGTTGTATTTATGCATTGCCAAAATACCATATACTTTACTATTATTGCTTCCATTTCTAATAATAATAAACAAGCAATAATAGAATATTATTATTTTGAAAGGCAGAATTAGCATTACTATTATTGCTTGTTTTTGCTTCTTTGGAGTAAACTTTTTGTCTCGCAACAAATTCTTATTCCCAAGACAAGAGGCCAAAATCGCATTACATTTAGCTCAGTGAATTATAAATAGAAAAAGGGTTAGGTTATACTAACACGTCATTAAAGTATGTATTGACAAAATTACCTTCACCGACAAAACCCTATTCCTGGGCGCATTCGTAATCTTAAATCTAAAACTTCACAACCTTATTTGACCTTATCTAGCGACTGTGTAACATTGTCACCGTCACAACTCACCAGGGGTATTTTGGTTACAAAAGTACTACGGTCTCTCGTGAATCCACCAGCTTGAAAAAAAAGCCGCAGCCCCTCACGAGCCTCACGTGCCAAGGCGCGTGACTCCGGTATACCCGCGAGTGCACCATATAAAAATGGTCAGCACCGTAGATCCCGCGACATCATGGGTTTGAATCCGGAGCCGCGTTGACTTTGGCATCTCTGTACTGAAGATCAACGGCGTTGAAACTCGTTGGCAATTTAATATTGTAGTTTGCGTAGTTCCAGATCATGAGTAGGTTCCTTTCTTTTTGTGCATAGACAGATAGGCACCTTTCCAAGTAGGTGTACAAGTTGCCTTCGCTTACATGGAACTTTCACACTCTTTGGATCCCTGACTCTCTTCACAACAATGGGTTCTCTCCCTTTTTCCTTCTTATTTTCTCTCTCCTCATAAAATTTTCCTAGAAAGTTTGCTTTAACTTTCTAGCTCATGTATCCATGGCTCATTTTAGTCATAAATTCTTAGTTTCATGTCATTGTTTATGTCACTTCTAGTTCAACATGTTGAATTATTGAAGTTACTTCATTACATAACTTCCTAGGAAGGCTAGAGTATCATTTTCCTGAGAAAATGAAGAATTTCCTCTGTTTGTTTCCTTTCTTCTTCCTTTTCCTTCTGTTTCCTCCGGTTTCCATCGCGCAATTGTCTGCATCAGAAAGCAGAATCATGTTCCAAGTCCAGCAATTTCTTGAATATCCACAAGTCTTTCAAGGATGGAATAACTGGACTAACTTTTGTTACCTCCCTTGGTCACCTTCAGTAGTGATTGTTTGCTCAGAAAATCACATAACTGAAATAACTGTCATTGGCAACAAAACCTCCCCTTCTCAATTCCCAAATCCCACTTCAGCAAACTCTGCCATATCTCAGCTAACTCTCTCATCAAAATTCTCCATTGATGCATTCTTCACAACTCTAACAAAGCTCTCAAACCTGAAAGTGTTGTCTCTTGCGTCCTTAGGACTATGGGGTCCATTACCGGCCAAAATCATCCAGTTTTCGTCGCTTGAAGTGCTTAATATGAGTTCAAATTTCATATATGGGAGCATCCCTGCCTCACTTGCCACTCTCAAGAATCTCAGAAGCCTTGTTTTGGCTGATAATTTGCTTAATGGGACTGTCCCAGATCTCAGAAGTCTACAAGTTCTTGAAGAGCTAGACTTGGGTAGAAACCAATTGGGGCCTAAATTTCCTACACTAGGTAACACTCTTGTAAGCATAATATTGAAAAACAACTCTTTTAGATCTCATATTCCATTAGAGCTCATCAACTTTGCTCAACTTCAGCGATTCGACGTGTCTTCCAACAAACTTGTTGGACCTATACCCTCTTCTCTGTTTGCTCTGCCATCAATTCAGTACCTTAGTCTAGCCAAAAATCAGTTTAGTGGCGCTCTTTTGACGAATATATCTTGCAGTGCCAAGCTTGGATTTGTAGATGTTTCTGATAACCTTTTGATTGGGATGTTGCCTTCCTGCATCGGATCAAATTCTACGAATAGAACAGTACTTAGTTCATGGAATTGTCTGTCAAATGGAAGCTCCAAGTATCAGCACCCTTATTCATTTTGTCACAAGGAGGCATTGGCTGTTAAGCCTCCGAGTAGATCAGATCAACAGCAGCAGCAGCCCAGCCGCAAACTTGGCTTGATCCTCGGTATTATTGGGGGCGTTATAGGGGCTGCAGGCGTTTCCGTGTTGTTGATTTTGCTGATCTTGAAAAGAGCAGGAAGAAATCAAGCTAAAAATTACAAATGTGACAGCTTTGTTATTGAAAAAGGTTCTTTTCGCAGCACCCCGGGCATCATTGGAAGTAAGACATTCCTTTTTTGTATGTATATATATATATATACCTTAAAGAGTCATTTCTCAAATACTGTATCATTAGAAGTAGCTTAAGAGTTCTTCTTCTACGAAATCAGAAAACTGTACAGAAAGCTCATTTAAAAAGTTTTGTTTTTCAGAAGACACTGTTATATCTCTCTTAAAAAAGCGTTTTCTGTTTTTTGAGTTTTCAAAAACTGTTTTTTTGATGCATCACTAGGACCTGTCACATGAGCTGAATTGTGAACTTTTTGGCATTTTTACAAATAGTTGTATGTTTATAAAGAACTAAAAATCAGAAAACTGTCCGGAAACTCAGTTAAAAGAGCTATCTTGTACGGTTCTCCAAAAAACAATTCTCGGAAAACTATTTTCAGAAAACTAAATCAAGCAGACCCTAGATATTCATTAAAAATTCATGATATAAGATACTTGGTGTGACATATAATGCTCATTGAATTTCCGCAGGGCATGTTCCGAGGACTAAGAGGATGGCATCACTAGGCATCCCACCATACCATGTTTTTACACTGGAGGAAATGGAAGACGCGACAAATAACTTTGATGCAATGAATCTGGTGGGGGGATTAGGATCTCAGGGGCAGGTGATTGATCCAATCCATCTAATTTTGATAGCATAGATAGACACATATGTGTTGTTCATTTGAATGAACCCGAGCGATTTTTGCAAAATCTACAGCTCTATAAAGGTTGGCTTAGAGATGGCTCAGTGGTCCTGGTGAAATGTTTGAAACTGAAACCGAAGCATTCACCTCATAGTTTGCTGCATCAGATAGAAGTGATATCTAAGCTGAGACACCGGCATTTGGTCAGCGTTCTTGGCCACTGCACTGTCACATACCAGGACCATCCCAACACAGCTAGCACCGTCTTCATTGTCCTCGAATATGTCACAAATGGTTCGCTAAGGGATCATCTTACCGGTAAAGCAGAGAACAACAATTGCAGCTGTTTATCATGAACTTTAAATTTTCAAAAAAAAAAAAAAAAACTAAGACAGCATTTTTTATTTTTTTTTCCTGCAGATTGGAGAAAGAGGGAAGTCCTGAAATGGCCACAGAGAATGGGAATTACAATTGGCATTGCGCGGGGAATTCAGTTCTTGCACACAGGAATTGTGCCTGGGATTTTTGGGAATGACTTGAAGATTGAGAACATATTGTTGGATGACAATCTCATAGCAAAAATTAGTGGCTACAACATGACATTGACCTCCGAGGCGGTAAATATTTGATCTCAGCTTTACTGGATTAACAAGTTTTTTATAAATAATATTTCAAGAATGTCATACATGTATTTATATTTTTGTCATTTTGAAATTTCAGGTTGGTTCAGAGCTCCCACTCAGTAAACAAGATGCATCGAGTCTTCTGGACAGGTACTCTTGCTGCTTAATTTAATATCATATATGTGAAATTGTGGCCTGAATTTTGTTTCAGTAACGATACTTGGTTTTGTCCCGATTAATAGGAAATTTTTTTTTTTGACTTGTTTTGTCTTACAAGTTATGAATTCGTACTTTCGTATTGTAACTCGTATATAAGGGTGCTAGGGTTTGTGGTGTGGGTACAAATGAACACTAAAAGCTGAATAGAGAGAGAGGGAGGGATAGAGGGCAAGTTGTGTAACTCTCTATATAAGGGTGCTAGGGTTTTTGGTGTAGGTACTAGTGAACGCTAAAAGCTGAAACATAGAGGGAGATAGGGGTTTCTTTGTACAGTGAAATCTCTTCACCGATCTTCACTGTGGACGTATTGTTTATGCTGAACTATATAAATCTTTGTGTATTGTGTGATGCATGGTTTACGTTTATCTGTCGTTTCTTGATTGTGTTCTTGATTTTAGTCGTAACAATATGTTACGAAAATTCAAGCCATCTCATGAGATCTCTACATGCAGAGCTGAAGATGCAGAGAAGGATGATATCTATGAGTTGGGTGCCATTCTACTTGAAGTCATTACTGGCAAACCAATCACATCTGATGCTGAATTAAATGACTTGAAACTTGAGGTATAAACTCAATTTCTTCAACCTTAATTCATTTTATTTATCAACCCATTTCAGAAATTAATTATAGATTAAATTTGGATTGGATTAATTCAACTTAAATTCCTTGTTTGGTTCATAGCTTGAAAGGGGCTTAGCAGAGGGACAATCCACACTTGGAGGAGTGACAGATCCATCAATCAGAGGAACTTTTGCATATGATTCTTTGAAAACTATGGTTCAGATCACTGTCAACTGTCTCTGCAGAGATTCGACCAACCGTCCATCAATTGAAGACGTTCTTTGGCATATGCAGTACTCCATTCAAGTTCAAGAAGGTTGGACTAGCAGTGGAAACCTTAGTACAAAATTTTAGAGGTTGAATTGACTTTTTAAACCCTGTTATTGCCTGCCTTTTATGGTTCTTTGTATTATAATTCAGTAATTATCCAAATAGATCTTATTATGAGTTGTAATTACATGAAATATTATACTCATTATTAGACTCATGCTGGGATTACCAAAAGGCCATTAAATTTGCGAACACTTTTGTAGCCCAGCGGTTTGGTTGCTCCTCATTATACTTGAGAGCCCGGCTTTAAATCTTCGCACCTCTAATTTTTAATTTAACATTCTTGTCCTGAAAAAAATTGTCATTAAATTTTACCATATTATACCAAGAGAAACCATAAACTTGCCAAATTGTAGCAAAAACTGAACTAGTGTAACACTTAATGGTTGAGATAAATACTTGACAAAAAGATTGCCACACTTGACAATAATTTTTTCTTTTTTGTTATTACAATCACTAGTGTTGAACAAGCACTCTTAATTAGTGGTGGATAAAAACAAGTATCTGTCCTCCATTTGTAAGATTATTAAAAAGGTTTACGCTGCCATATGTGTGAATATCTGTCAAATTCCATTCTTTTCAACTTTAGAAATCAAAATAAAAAATTCGAAATTTTTTATATTCAACAAAACATTGAATTATTGAACCCAAGAACAAGTTCAAGATTTCATTAAAAAATTATGGCTTAAGCCTGACTTCTGAGCTTGTACAGTCTCATGGTTGACCTCTTGGGTGGAACTTGGAAATGCCAAACTGGGCATAGCTCAAATGCCATTACAGGGAATGCCCAATTTTTCATTTATGCTTTATTTCACTTGGTGCTAGATCTTAGAAGAAAAGGCTAAAAAGCTTTCAGAGTCGGTGCCGAAAAGCCCATCTCCATTTCTGATTTTTCCTGAATATATGCTGCAAAGGGAAGGTGGATGTTAGAGGGAGAAAAAATTCCCTAACACTTTGGAATAGGGCTGCAAACGAACTAAACTGAATCGAGCTTAGCTGTAGGCTCGGGCTCATTTATTAGAAGGTCAGCTCTAAACCGAATCGAGCTTAGCTGTAGGTTCGGGCTCGTTTATTATAAGCTCAGCTCGAGCCAAGCTTAATTGTAAGCTGTAGGCTTGGGCCAATTTATTATAAGCTCAGCTCGAGCCAAACTTAACTGTAGGTTGTAAGTTTGGACCCATTTATTATAAGCTCAACTCGAGCCAAGCTTAGCTGTAGGCTCTGGCTCATTTGTTATAGGCTCAACTCTAGCTCGTCACGATTTTTAAAAGTTTAAGAAAACAAATTAAATCCATGTTCAAAATCAGGGCTCATTTTGAAGCTCGAAGCTCGCCAGACTTATTTAGTAAATCATTGCATTTTTATTTATACTTCCAAATATTAAAGTATTTCAATAAAAAAACGAACCCTATAATAGAAACATAAATGAGCTGTATATGAACCTATGTTCACGAGCCTACACTACCTCAAGTTCACGAGCCAAGCCCTGCACCTTTCAAGATCGGCTCATTTACTAAACGAGCCTAGAAAGCGAGCTTGTGCTCGGCTTGTTTGTTTAGCGAACAAGCCTGAGCCAAGCCCTTAACGAGAAACAACTCCGTTCATTTGCATCCCTACTTTGGAATGATACAAAGGAAATGCATACGCATACACACAGTAAACTAGTAGAATAAAACTGTTGGATGTTTTGTCCCCAGCCAGATATGGTCTCTGCAGCTTATTATTACAGATTTTGACAACAAAAGACTCACTAATTCAGCATTTCTTGCACTGCAAACCCAAAGTAGTTCTCGAAATGGTTAGGCGGTTCATAGATGAAGCAAGAGATCACATCTCTGAGAGTAATCACACCGACGACTTCGTTGTCCTCGCCTACCACATAAATCCTATGAACTGACTTGGAAGCAAGAGTGCTAATCACATTACCAAGAGTTGAGGCAAGCTTGCATGTTATTGGAGTGACAACTTTTCCGGTATCATGAGTCATCAAGGCAATGGTGCTCATGAAATCTGTCACGGTCAGCTGCCTGCAACCGTTAAGAGAATTAGAGATCAAGTTTGAATTATAAAATGTCAATTTTAATCAATTTGACTGCAAAATGTTAGTTTTAAATTTTTTAAGTAACTTGGATCATATGATGTCGTGCAATAGTTGACATATTCTTCTATAGATGGTCAGCGATAATTAAAATCACAAAAATTGGAGCAATTGAAAATAAAGATTGAATCCGAGAGACATTTTAATCACCTAAAATTGGAGAAAAGCTCATGTTTGAGTAACAAGTGTCTGATGTCCCTTATGCTCAAGTTCCCAAAAATTTTCTTATTTGGTCCCTCAACAACTGGGAGACCTCCAATTTGGTTATCTTTCATTCTCTTGAAAGCTTCCAGAACCAGGTCATCTTTCTGGATGCTAATAACCTGAAAACACACGGACACACTTTTGAAACTCAACATTTAATAGGCAGCAACAGAAATACTTATTTGTAGTCCGAAAAAATAAAAAAATAAAAAAAAAAATTCTCACCTCGTTACTAGACATGAATGGAAGTCCTAGATCAGCTATAGAATGTGCGGAAATGCAGTCAAACCAATCCCTTCCTTTGCATCCCTCGAGACCTTGAACGACTGCAGATTGAGTAATGTAGTTCTTAACAAAAGGCTGGCCTGGTTCAATAACAGGTACGTTCCTCAGCCTGTATTTCGACAGCAGCAATAAGACGCTCAACATAGAACTATCTGTTGCAACAGGAATGAATGGCGCCCAACGGTAGGATTTAACTATTGATTTCACCTGAAACAAGAATTTATATAAGATATCCTATTCATTTCCAAGATGAGTAGAAAGTAAGCAGGTTCAATTCTCATGTCATTGATGTCAATATAGTTATGTCTTTCCCAGTAACAAGGCCGGTTCAATATGATGTGATCCCTATGGCAAATTTTTTTTAAAATACCCTTTTTGATTGTTGACAACTTAATATAACTAACAATAATCAACTTCATTATTATTATTCAAATCATTAATAAATCGACTGTTTAAGAGTACAGGACACGCTAAGAACAGTAATAGAAAGTATTTTACTACCGGACTAATTCAAGTGGTCTTTCCTCCCCTTCGGGAACACAGATAGAGCAGTCACTTAATGCGGCTAAGTGACTGCTCTATACCGGATTAGTCCGGTTTATGTGGGACATTAATTGGCTATTGCTTCTCTTTCATTTAAGGGTATCTTTTTCTGAAGAGCATTTTGTGCGACCCTAAAAAAAATGTGGGATTTGAATTGACTTAAATTGGCAGTTATGTGCAAGACTGCTTATGGATGTTCAATGGGCACTTCTGTTAAAATTGAAGGTACACCAGAGGGATATATACTTTAAAGGAATTCAAGAGAGCATTAGAGATGATAAGCACAGACCATTGCATCAGCAAAGAAGAACAATTTGTTAAAATGGGGGTACAAGAGCCAATCATCCTCTATAGAAACCCTAATTGCATAGTTTAACTTACCTTGGTTGACTTAAAGGGTTCTTCTTGAAGGATAGTCTTGTAAAAATCCTCGCCCAACCTATCGGCCGCAGTGGGAGCATCTTTTGCCATCACTCTATCTGCAGCCACACCACCAGCCACAGCTGCACCAACTGCAGCAACAGTTAGGCCAGCAACCGCAGCAGGACCAGTTGCGCCCAATGCCAGTGCTCCGAGAGCACCAACAGCGCCTGCACCTACTCCAGCAGCCGTTGCAGAACTTGCTGACAAGGCAGCAGCAGCAAGTTCTGCAGTCTCTAGCACCCACAAAACAATAGCCGAGTAATCTATGATTCCCAAATACCTCTCTCTCCAATCTGTACCATTTGCAGTGTCCGGATTCCTTACCGGAGCTGACAGGATGTTGCATTCTGATAAAATCTTAACAGCATCACCAATTGATGTGTCTGCAAGAATTTCAATCACTACAAAAGAAACATTCCAAATTTCCAATAAGCTACTATTAGTAATTGAGGTATAACATTAACATCCATAGCAGACCATTTGTGAGATCAGATAAACAACAAGATTGTGAATGCAATACATTTTCTGATGTTACCTTTGCCACCAGGAACTTCTGGAAAGGATGAAACTGGAATCTTCGCAAATGCATCCGTTAAGGACTCACGCAATGAACGTGGCAATCTCGATCTGTTCTGTATGGTCTCGAAGTAATCATCATAGCTTCCGAGCTTTGAACTTTCTTTAACCACTTGTGCTTGTGCCATAGCTGATCCAATATATTAAAGAGGAATATCTAAGATTCTGTTCCGGAGTATCTCAACTACAAAGCCATAAAATTAACATAACCCTGGATTTTCCTTTATTAATATGCAAAATGGGACTCACCCTTGTGGAGAAAACAAGTATCTAGATACAACCAAATAGGAGATTTTGTCACACATTCAAAATTACTGCTACATGTTAATATTTTGTCACATAAATATATCATAGCTGCTCCTCGACGAGAAAGCTTTCTCAACGTAATTCATATAAGCGGACAACAATTTTAGTTCATTTAGATGGGCTTTAGGTACTACTTAACATTTTGGGACTCTTTGATCTATATATTTGAATATTTGCCTTGGTAAATATTTTCCGTATTGTGTTGCACAGAAAATATCTTGCGAGACAATTATAGTTATCAAGCCCCGGCATAACTTAAAAGCTTATCAGAACCACAAGGCACAAACATCTTATTGCAACAAACACTCAAAAAGAATCAAAACATCCTTTCTTTTATAGCACTGGAATTGGAAGCAACATTCCAGCCACATTATAGGCAACAGATCCCCGAGGTTGAAGGTTCCACAGTTTTCAAAACTAGAGTGGCGCCCACATTGATCGACTGTCAAATACACTGAGCTTTCCCCTTGGTTCTTTGGTATTTATAGGGTGCCTCAAAATTGTTTCAGAGCATGGCTAAATTTTATGATGAATGCTAACTGCATTCGCGACTATTGTGACTGCACAAACACGAGCTAGTAGCAATTGTGCTTAGCACAACTCAAATTTTATTTACCTTTATTAATTCACTAGTTTGACACCAAATTTCACTTTTCTTTTTTCTCTCTTTTTCCTTCGTTTATTTATTTATTTTTTATCATTAGAGTATGGATGGTCATTTTATGCAAATAATGCTATAAGTTAGATTTGGTGACCATAATGATAAGTAAATTTGACAAATACCCACTTCAAAGGAGTGCATGGTTCAATGCCTAGGCCATTTATACAATTCCCTAAGGCCACATATGGAATAAGACCAACCTTTTTCTCTATTAATTAATGCTGTAATTAATATTCTTCAATATTTTGATATTGACTCCCATAAATTATGACCTTAATAGGATAAATTCTTTCCAATTCTTAAATTTAATTTGAAAAAGACATTTCATCTAATTCAATAAAACTTTTTCTTTCCCTTTTTTTTTTTTTTTTTTTTTCTCTGCATTTAATTCTTCAAAATTTTCTAATCCCAACAAAAATTTTTAGTTGGTAACAAAAAATCTATTTCAATTAACTTATGTTTTGTTCCGTTGCATCAAAATTGCTGCCCTGAAATTAAAATTGGAAAATTTTAGTTTCGTCGAAAAATTAATTGAGCCTACGTTAGATTACAAACATGATCATCATAGATCTAACTGAATCAGCCTCAGATTTCTAATTAAAATGGGGAGATTATATCATTCCATAATAATATTCAAATAATTAAACATAAAGATGAAAAAATTGAGAGACTTCTGAGAGCAAGAGTGAGTGACAGTAGCAAATTCAAAGGACTGAGTTAATGCCTCTGCGTACCTTAGCGTTCTTAGTTTCCGAGTCGACTCAGAGATCAGGAGCGACTACTGTTTTCGTCTCTCTGTGTGTTCACGCTCTTCCCAAGAACCAGTTACTACTGGTTTTACATGTAAGTGTTTGTGATTTGACACGTGGAAGTGATTTGACACGTGTCGCTTGGCTGAGGCCACGTCTCCAGTCTTGATAGTTTAATGTTTGAAACGGTCCGTGTGAAAAAAGTTGGGGACCATCAATTTTTATTTCTGGACATTTTGGAAAAAACAATTGGGCCGATCAACGATATATATATATATATATATATATATATATATATATATATATATATATATATATATATATATATATATATATATAAGTAAAGTGCATTAAACCCTCCTGAACTATTGAGATATGCGTAAGAAACTTCCCTGAACTATAAAAGTTACAAAAAAATCCCTGAACTATTGGGATATGTGCAAGAAACTCCCTCTGAACTATAAAAGTTGCAAAAAAAACTCCTGAACTATTGTGGTATATGCAAGAAAACCCCTTGAACTATATATTTTTTTTACAATTTACTCCATCCGCGCGAATTGATTGACTAAAAGAGACGATGAAGCCGAGGAATTTGTGGCTGGGATCGGAGTGGTAGATGTCGTCTGAGGAGTGTTTGGATAAGCCAAGGAATCTTTTGTTGGGATTGGTGGGTCTCCTGTCATAGCTCCATCATAACAGTTGCACCACCTGCCAGATCTGTTAGCCATATATATCGCACTTCTCTGCATCATTGCGTTAGCCCATTGCCGTCACCGCCTTGCCTACCGTTCAGTTCACCTTGCTTGCCGGTTCATTCCACCGTCCATTCCAAGCTCGCCGGCCCATTCCGCCATCTCCATAGCCGAGCACACCGTCGTTCGTGTTTCGAGCACACAGTCATCCACAGTTCACCGCCGAGCCCCCTTGAGTTTGTCGCCGCTTCCACAGTTCACAGCCTAGTCAACCGAGCTCTCATCACAATCGAGTCCTCTGCACACAAGCCGCTATCATCCGAGACCGAGCCATCCCATCGACCTCGGATTTCTTTGGTCTCTTCTCTCTCTCTCTCTCTAGCTCTCTGTTTTGGGTTGTGTTGGGTGAAAAACATCTTTTGGCAGAAAAAAAATGTAAAAAATGTATAAGTTAAAACGACGTAGTGTGTTATAAGGGTAAACTGGTCTTTCAAAATTTTCGGTGCCAGAAGCTGATGTCAGGGGGATAAATTGCAACAAAATCGTAGTTCAGGGGGGTAAATTGTAACAAAATCATAGTTCAGGGGGGTTTCTTGCAAATGACCAATAGTTCAAGGGGGTTTAATGCACTTTACCCTATTTTCTTCTGTAAATAGTTTTAACTTATATGTTTTCTTTTTAGTTAAATTTTTTAATATAATTTTTTTTTTGATTTTAGTGATTTGTAAAAATATTTTAATTTTTAATATTACTCATGTATAATTTCAATTTGGTTTATATCTTTTAGATACCTCTAATGTAAAGTAAGTTTTATTTTATAGCATGATCAAAAAGATAATTTATACCAAAAAAAAACAAAAAAAATGTTTGAGTTATAAAATTGCTTCCTAGATTGTGGGGCGGGCTCACTTGTGGGGGCGGACTAATAGTGTAATATATATATATATATATAGGGAGGGATATCTGCACGTCATTTTTAAATATTTACACTACAATTTTAAATAAAATGATAATTCTGGTCCTAACTTTATAAATAAATAATTATTTATTTCTTATTTTCTATTCTTATCTCTATTCTTTAATATTTTAGGTCTTTTTTGACAAGATTAAAAAATATATATAGATAAGAGTCATAAGACCCCCAAAAAGGGTTATTTGTATAGAATAAATTATTTCTTTTAACTGGGCTCATAAAAAATTACCTCTTTTGACATGATTAAATAAAAGTTAAACTTTGTTGAATAAAATCTCTTATGACTGCCAAAAATAAAATTTTTAGTATGAAATAAATTATTTTTTTGAGAGGACCTTGAAAAAAAAAAAAAAAAAAAAAGAAGGAAAACAATAGTAAAAAAAGTAAAGAAAAAGTTAAATTTGTATAAAAAGGTACTTATGACATTATAAATTAAGAGATGGTGCAGTAATGAATTCAATGACCTTCTTGTTATTTCCTTTAAAAGAAAAAAAGGTAAGTGAAGTGCAATTTGTAAAAAGTGGAATGTGAATATCGCCCCCCTATATATATATATATATATATATATATATATATATAGTAATTTTTACAATAGCAATAAAAGAAGATAGAAAAAAATTATCATTTGTCAATTAAATGAATTTTGTATCCATTGAGTATTTTTAAAAGCATTTCTAGTTAATTCATGAATTGATATGTACAAAGTTAGATAATAAAAATTTGTCATTAATTTGTTAATTATGTATGAAAACCGGTTGGATATATCACATATTTACCATCAACGTGTAAGAAATTTCTAACATAAATAAAATTCATGGATCCAATTTGGTGGTAATTTATCCCATGCACATATATATATATATATATATATATATATATATATATATATATATATATATATATATATGATACCATGAAACAATTGTAATACAGAAAATGTTTTTCATACTCACACTATATAAGAGGATATATATAATTTCTTAATAACCAAATATAGTATCTTCACGATCGCAAACATATATTGTTAGTAAATCACAATATATATTTTTGTTTGAAATAGATTAAATTTATGCAGTAGAGTCCATGTTGGCTCTGATACCACATGTAAGAAAATTTTAACTTAAATACAAACATGGTTCCAATACATAAATTTGATAAAGAAGACCTACCCGATATGAAAATCTATTTAAGGGAATTACAGCGGAAACATTACTCATATCATATAGGAGACGACCTTCAACCCTCTTATCTTTCATTGCATACAGGATGATGGATTCCAGATTTCAACGCATATATATAACTGAGGGTTAGGACCGTTCCAGTAGACGTTAAGAGGTGTGTTGGTTCTATTAACCAACACAACTCTTCATATGTAACTCCTCAACAAAGCATCACAACTCTCAAATATATAGGTGTATTCATTCAAATATATGGATAACTAAATATTAATTAATTATTGTTAGACTATTAATTTTTTGCTTACATTCTCCCACTTAGTCTAACAATAATTAATTCTCACTTCTAAATCAAAATAACAAACGAGTGCACTCCAAAACTTAATCCATATATTTATAAGAAGCACCTTTATCGTCCAATTTGGAGTCCATTCGAGTCTACTAATATTGGATCAAGGGCGTTATTATTTCATTAGTGATATAAGACACCAATGGTCACTGATACTAACAAATTAAACTCCAAAGTCATATATATATTGTATGTGCGTATATTTAACACAATATTCATGTCATGCATCGGTCCTATTGTGTCTCAATAAGGACACGCCGTGTCTCAAAACTGGACACTTGAGTCATAAATTTTCCATACACATGTGCACTAATATGGAAAATCTAATAAATGAGGATAATAATTGTGATCACAAAATAAAACTGCCTTTACCTGAGCCAAATACAACCTCCCACTAACTAAGTAAATTAGTTGTCAAAGAGAAATATGCATGCTTACTGTACAATATTAGCGGTAAACACTTGGTTATGAGATCATCAATTTTTTGTTGGGTATCAATGTGCTCAATCAGACACTAGTTGGTTCTGTATTCTCTATTTCATAATAAGGTATTAACGGTCATATTTTAGACCAACTTGAACTCTTGCAGTTTCTTTAATACAAGACTATAGCGGTATTGACCTGAAGTCCAAAACTGATATTTTACAAAGCATGAAATATAGCCTTATAACATGCAAATAAACTCCGCTTCTATCACTTATCATAATAGTAAAACAATACTTGAAGTGGATTTGTATACTGTCCTGACAACTCGCAAAGTCAGTTTTCACCACTCCTATAAAGATATGGTTCTTAATTATTTGCTGATACCTTATAAATTTGTTTGTCACGTACTATAGATCCAAACCAGGATCACTGTGATATCTACTTAACTTTAGGATAGCAAATGAAATATTACAGTTAACCATATGCAAAACCTGAGTATATATTAGGTTCCCAAAGGTATATGAAATTCCTTTTATTTAATCTTGCTCTAAGTATTTCTCGACTATTGGAATATCAAATTCTCACATTTACAATGAGTGCAATTTCATTTTATAGTGTTATATGTCAAATATTTTGAGAACTCTATCCTAGTAGGTTCTTTGTGACAATCCAAGATCACAAGATTTATTTAGGTGCAATTTAATGTCAGTAAAAAGACTTCACCAACACCTTATCTCAAATGTTTGAGACAAATTATTTAATCTCATGTAAAATAATGCCATAACTATCATTTACATTTAACACAAATATGAATTTTACTCCCACTGACTTTGAGAATAACTAAAGCCACACATTTACAGTTTAATTGATGAGAAGGTCAACTAAACTTTCCAGAGTTAATTAAATAATACCTCAAAATAATTAACTCTGAATGGGATCAACATAACATATAATAAACTTTCCTTTGGGCCAAAATTATCATATGCTAGTCTCCTATTGGTGAAATAATTTTCACCTTTGAAGCTAATTAATCATAGAAAATACAATAACAACTTATACTCATTTGGGCGTAGTGAGTCATCAGTTGTGTCTTCTACACTAATTACCTCAATCCGCTTAGTTAGACAAACTCAATGACTCACCTTTGGGCTTGATCATTGCTCATCTTTACTAAACTCTAACACAATCCTTTAACTTTAACAAAATAATAATTTTGTCACTAGTTATAAATATTATTAAAATTTCATGAGTGTGCCACTTTGGTGACTAAACACTCAATCAAATTTAATGACACTTGTGCTTAGAATTGCAAAATCCTGAATGAATCAAAATATATACATATACATATTATGCAACAATTTGTAACAATTTATAACATGAGACACATGCATAATTATGTATATAATTTCAATAACATGTATAATTTCATAAACTTATATATTATCAAAGATATAAAACATTAATCAGTGAT